CTGCTGCGACCAAAAGCTCCATTCAACAGACATCATGAATGTGAGAGTGAAAAATGTCCCACACTAAACAAGTCAGTCACAAAGAAGAGAAATACAACGTGCATGCTGAAAATATTCTGCATGTAAGACGACGGTAAACAACCGCATTGATTCAAAGAGATCTTCCCACAAGGGACTGAAACCAGCACAAAGCACAAAGCACAAAGCACAAACACACACACACACACACACAGCTAATGTGTGTACAGATTATTAATCCCCACTAATCTTCAGCGTCTGCAAACAGAAACAAAACATGAACACATCAAACTAACAGACAGACGTCTCGTCATCTCGGCACTGCTGCTGGAAACTCTGAAATAAGTGAATGTGAGGTCTCATCCTCACTTTAACATTCAGAGGATGTCTAAGATGATTTTGGTAGTTTTTTGAATGATGGAATGTTTTTTTTTTTTATCTCCAGAGAGAGATTCAATGCTTTTGGGATTTACAGCTGAGAAATCAGAGACGAACACGGTCAATCAAATCTCATTTGAAGTGCACAGAAATGTTTCATTTGACTTGTCCTGCTTCTTACAAACTACTTTATTATCCTTTTTGCTTTATTTCTTTGTGTCACTTTCCCTTCACTTTGCCCTCTCTGTTTTATCGTCTTGTTTGGGAAAGACGCAGGTTTCAAGCACTGACGAGTTTTTGACCAAACCCCAGAAAGATTTCTTTTCATTTTAACTGAAGTTACAAACCGACTTAAAGCATCGAATAAAAGATGAAACCTCTGCTTTTGTTTGATCAGCAGAAACTTTAAACACTTTAAAAAAAGTAAGAGTGTATAATTACAAATATTTTGCACTCTTCCAGATCATTCATGACAAACACATGAACTTTTCTACATCATATTTATATTCAGTGAGACTCCTCTGAGTCCAGGTTTTAGATCAGCTTTTCCTTTGTCTCCGTCTCTCTTTATTATTTTAACTTCAATGTCTGCAAATAAATCAAATTGAGCAGGTCAAAATGAGAATTTTCAGATATTATGAGTTTGATTTGGAGCGTCATTGAATATTTTAGAGATCAGCAAAAAGCTTCAGGTTTTAAATGTGTTGTAGGTGTTCATTGCCTGATGAGTGAGTAAAAAGTGACTGAAAGGTGAAATTGACAAAGTAACACTAAAGCTTTGACTCACAACAAAGACGTTTACCTGACACCTTTGTAAATTCTCTGTGTTTTTGTGTTTTTTATGTTTTCCCAGAACATATTATTTTGTGACGTTTACTCCCATAACCCCAAAAATCAACCAAAGGCGTCATTACAGCCGAATGTTTTCCTATAACATCTCAAATAAATCATCTTTACACCGATCGTTTTTAATGCGAGAGAAGGAAGATAAAAAGTGACTCGTCTGTTTGCTGTTTTTAAATCACATGTGTCATCTCATTTCTCTCCAAGTATTCTCCCTGATCATGGTCACTCATCAATAATCAATCTGTGGACTGCACATTATCTGATAGATTTATCACAGGAGTTTAAATCTGACTGGACATTTTTCTAGATTCTCTAAATAAAAGCGATGAAACATTTGGTTTGTGAGCGCATCCTGTAACAGACAGCAGGTTCAGAGACAGAAAAGTCTCAGTCCTGTAATTATAATCAGAATAAAGTCAGATTTTATTCAGCTGGTATTCTCTCTTAGGTTCTCTAAAACTGTCCCTTCATTTATCCGATGGAAAGAGGAAAATGATTCTTCATCTTACTACGTATAGGAGCTTCTTTCCTGTAGTTTTGAGTCGCCTGAATCGTGCTAAAAGATGCCTAACGTTGAATAAACTGTAAAGACATGCATGTTTTACGCAGCACAGAGCACCACACACACATGCACACACACACACACACACACACTCACACTCACACACTCAGACTGTAACCTGAGACGCTCAGTGTTTCTCTGTCTGCTTCCTCTGAACGAAGCTTTTACAAAAAAAAAACACGAACACAACAAATCTGCAGCTTCTGTTTGTTCACCTCCAATGAGAGAAAGAGATCAAAAACATGAAGACTGAAACAAACAGGAACAATCAAAAAAAATATCTGAAACAATGTCTTCATGTCTGCACAGCTCTTTACACTTTAAAATCTCTCTCATGTGAACCCTTTAAGACACTTAAACATTAATTAACAAAGAGTTTGAATGAATGTACAGCAGGAGAAACTGAGGCGCTGCTCAATGCATCCACACTGATGAACAATTTCTTCCTCAAAGTTCTTCAATTAGATTCTAACTCCCCTCCTGTTGGGCAAACATTCAAGTAGTTTTGGAATGAATTTGCTTCTGAATATATTTCACCATTCATGCTTGAATTTTGGCTTTGTTTTTGTTTTTTTCTTCATCATGATCATAAATGTAAATTCAGTATTTTTCTGAGTTTTTTAACTTTTTTTTAAGCTTCATGTTTGCTCCTCTGAGACTTCATGTCTTACAGATTTGAATTCTCTCCATCAGAGGTTTGTGATTCTGTGCAGCTAAATAAACTTTATGACTTTATTATAATTAAGTTTAAGACACTGCACTGCACAAAAAAAAAAAAGCAGCAGCACATACTGTACATATAAATCTGGCTCTCCACAGAGTGCTTTACATATCTACACACTGATGCTGCTGCTGCTGCACAAAGAGCAGAACAATCACACCATGAATCAGTGTTCAGGTTAATGCTCTCGTCTATCAGTGGGAAATAAACTGCTAACTGTTTCAAGATGTACATATTTATATAATATAAAGTATATTTGCATCATTTATTGAGTAATCTTAGAGTCTGGATTGTTGCTCTGAAAATTCAGAACATCTGAACATCATTACTTTTATTTATTTTTTTACTACTTGTAAAGTTTTTTTAAATCAGTTAATTGAGGGAGTTATCAACACTGATGGTCACTGTTAACTCTTCTTAATTCAAAATTTGCCAAGTAGTTTAAAAACACTTCAACCCCAAAATCTGCTATGAAAATATTTTAACAATATATGAAGAGTTTACTGAAGTCGTTCAGATTTTAATGTTCCTTCACTCCGGTTCTAAAGGTCCTCTGATGTGAAACAGGTGTTTCAAGTCGCCAACTGGATGGTTCAAGCTCAAACTGCAGAATGCATCAAAACGTCTCAGTTTAAATTAACACAGAAAAATGATGCATGTGTAAAAGAAAACTATAAAACACTTCAAATGTGCTGGATTCGTTTTAGTTCTTCGTTTTGGTGCCTGAATCTTGTTGCAGAATTCGAAGTTAAAAACGGTGTCATTTCGCAGATTCTGTGTTTTAATTCCTTCTTCAGACTACACTGAAATAATAATTGCTGATAGATTAAATGACGGGCTGTTTTCATGGTGATGGAGGAGTTTCTTCATGAGACTGTGAGAGCTTCAGCTGCTGATGTGCGCAGGTGATTTGAAAACGGAAGCAGCGCTTCAAGCTGCATTGATTTATTTAAGTCCAGCCTCAGATTTCACTCCAGCAGTTTAAACCATTAAAACTCTGCTTAATAATGTCAAAATCCACCAGAAATCAACGTCAGAGTTTTTAAGAAGAAGAGTTTTTTTTTTACCTTTCAAAACTCGTGAATTTCACATTTTCTTAGTAATTAAGTGACGCTGTACACTTCGTTTATTTACAGTATTTTACATTTCCGGACACTCTGGCGCTTAAATTATTAAATATTGTTTTTGTCATTATTCAGGGGCTTCAAAAGGGATTTTAAAAAACGGATAAATGAATTTCAGAGTGCCCCTGTGTGAGTCAGCAGTCTGCCGGACTGCGTGGGTTTGTATCAGGGAGGTTAAAGTTATTTTACCCTGCATGTGAAACTCTGCAGAACGCTTTAATTTAACCTGTGACCCAGTTTAATTTGACTTTATTTCCTCCCCGAGATGATTCATGAATTAAACATCACTTAAAAACACTTTAATAAATTTCTACTCAGCGCCCCCAGAATCGGTGAACTTTGTAAATATTTGTGGATGAAATAAAATCAGTTGAGTTTAATTAAACAATGATACATTTATTGTTTTAACCATCTTCTAAATACGCTGTAAATATTATTAAAGAATCCCGGAGAACAGGCGGCTGCAGGTCGGACTCTATGCGCGCAGTGTGTGTGTGCGTGTGTGTGTGAGTGTATGTGCGCGTGTGTGTGTGCACAAACCAAACCGCGTGTCAAATTTGTTTAAATTAACGATTAAAGCTGCAGCGTGGGAAAGACTAACGACATTTCGGTTTGAGTTCTAGTTACTCAACAAGAGTGGAAGTAGGAGAGTAACTCGGCGTGTGTCTCCAGCCCGAGCGGGCAGCTGGTGAACCTGAACCCGGCGGAGAGGAGGAGGGAGTCGGGGTGAGGGGGCTGCTGCTCCGCGTTGAAACCATTCATACTGACTGCTTTGAGTAAACCGAGATATACACCGTGAACGGCTCAACTGACTTCATTTGGAGATTTTTCACAAATTAAAATTTGACTTCTCCTGAGTTATGATTATTTAGTTTCGTGTCAGTTTTGAAGTTTTTTTAAATCGAGTGAAAACCTTCCCAAAATGATGTTACGGTGAAAAGTAAAAGTTTGCAGTTTCGTGTTTGCAGCTTTCCCTGTGTAGTTATTTTATTATTTTGAAGATTATAAGTGGCTCAAATGCGCGCTGTGCATCCTCTGTGTTTTGTAAGTTTGTATTGACTATCTAAAAAGCGTACAAACTGAATCGATTGGCGTTTCTTTGCACTGTTTCTCAGCTGCAGCAGCAGCAGCTCTGGACTTTATGGTTCTAACTCAAATGGTTGCTAGTCGCTCTCCTGCAGACTGACTCAGATCTCCGTGCAGGTCACTGTAAAAACGGACCTGCAGGACTCGAACCTGAGCAGGACTTTCACCTTCACGCTGGAGTTTTCTCACTGTGGCATTAATCAGCCGCTTGGCACCGCGAAGCGCACAGAGGAACAGTTGAAGTGTTTCGGTGATATTTTTTTACCTCTGGGCCGCTGTGTTCGCGTCCAAAATCCCTGCGCCCTGCATCCAGGAGCGGACCGGGGTCATGCCGGTGGGGAGCGGCTCCTCCTTCATGGTCAGGGCCCCCCTGGGGAGGCTGTCCTGGATGGAGAACATCAAAGTGTCCTTCTGGGAGCTTCGTCTTCACCAGAAACAAGAAAGAAGAAGAGTAATCCTCCCTGTAGCAGCCACTCAAAAAGCCAAAGGACCACCTGGATTAAGGTGGAGAAAAGAGGAGCGATGAAGAGGAGGAGAGAGGAGGAGGGGAGGAGGGACACAGAGCGAGCTTCCCCAAAGTACCGGGTCCTGATCCAGAGAAGAGCCCGGGATCCCTCTGGGTTTCTCCGGGGTTGTTTTAGATCCCAGCACCGGCTCAGCTGCCCGGGCTTCAGTCTGCGTCTGTGTGAAGTTAAAAGAGGGCGGAGAGAGAGCAGCGCGGAGCGGGGAGAGAATCTCTGAGGAGCCGGGAGAGAGAGGGGACAATCAGCCGGGATCCGGAGAGCCTGACGCCGGGAGAACGGAGCGGAGAGCCGGGGATCAGAGGGAGGCGAGCAGCCGCGGATTGTGGAGAAATGAAAAGTGGGATAAAAAAACACGCGAGCGCTTCAAAAGGAGTAAAATGAAATGATTAGCAAACAAGAGGGAGGGACGGACCGAGGAAGGCTGCTGCTCCCGGGGGAACAGGGGGATTGGGCAGCGAGAAATCTCATCCCCCTCCCTCCCCGGCTCTTTATGGCTCCTCTGTCCCGGCGGAGAGCTCCTTCTCCCGGGGTCCGAGGCTCTGGAGCTCCCCGGGGACCGGCGTGGACCTGGAGGGGGCGGAGACAGCACCAAATTTGGACAGCTCATTTGGGTATTGGTCACACCTCTGGCACCTGATTGGGCAAAATGGCACGTTTCGTCATTGTTTTTTCAAAAGCTGCTCCAAATAAGGGTTTCCGCGTGTTCGGCTGTGCACACTGTAAAAAAATTGAAGCATCAATTTAAGTTGCAAAGTGGATAAAACAGGAGGAGTTAATGAGAGGAACAGATCTGATGCTGGAGGTGTGAACACACTGCACGATGGACACTTTTGAAACATTTTTAACAAAACAGACTGAAGTGATATTAAACAGGAGGGTGGTGAAGGATGCTCTGTCAAATTATTGAGAGCGTTTTGAACCCACAATGTGCAGGAATTTGTTGATGTGGTGAGTTTAAAACCACAGCAGAAAGCACGAGTCTATCAGGCAGATTTAAGCATCGCTTCAACTTGTTTTCTGCAGACATCCCTCAAGCACACCATGAGCACACTCTGTCACTTCTGTTTTATAAAAGATTTAAACGCTTTTAATAGAGGCTGACATTCTGCAGCAGATACAGAATCTCCTTCATCCAAACGTTCCTCATGCGCCCAGGCCTGCTCCGAGATACGAGACTGTAATACTGAACTCATCAGTTACACAGATCTGTATTCACTCCCTCCAACCTCACAGACTTCTGCAGATTTCGGGGGATTAACTGGTTTCATGTGGAATAATCTCCTCTGTCATCCCGCGTTCAGGCTGACTGACACGGGAGGCGCGTAAATTTGGCACCAATTTGCGCTTTTTTTTTTTTTACGCACGGACATATGGCGCTCACACACTCACATTCAGACACACACACATCAGGAGGGAAAGCTGCTAATAAGATGCGTTTTAGTGCAAGTGTTTTATTTCACACTGATGTAAAATTACGTTATTTAAATTTAGGATTAAGATAAAAAAAAAATAAAGGCCTCAAAATTACCAATAATAATAATAATTAATATTTTTTGATGTTTTTTTTTGGGGGGGGGGGAATTGGGTTCCGTGGCACGAGCAGAATTCCTCTAATTAAGCCCAAACTCGCGAGCAGCGCTGATTAAATATTTATCCTCCTTTAGCCCGCCGCCTTCCTCAAGGGACATGGAAACGTCTGGAAAGCCTGGAAAAATATGTGAGCGCGAGGAGAGAAAAAGTCAATGAGACGCTGCAAACATGTTGGAGATGAAGAGGAAGAGGAGGAGGATGAAGAAGGTCCGGATTAGAAACCAGGCGGCAACAGGCTCCCGCGCTCTGCTAATGAGACTTTATGTTATTAATAATCATATTTTCTTATGTCTTTAATTATACTAATAATATAAAAGTAAGTAACGATAGTCCTTATTAATATGAATTCACGTCACGCTGCCATTAGTATTACTGCAACAAATACATAAAGACTGCAGGAGGATGACAATACATATCAGAACATTTCTGCACATTTAAGGAATTCATTTTTAAGATGTGTGACATTTCTACATCTTTCATTTGATTTAATTTAATTTAATTTTTTTTTTTTAATATCATGATTCTCACTTTTGGGTTTTAGGTTTAGATCAGTCTCTGTAACAGTACCTGGAACCTTTAGCTAAATATTTGACACTCACTGTCTCTTCATTTGGATTAAAAAAATCTGCAGCTATGAGAACATTTAACCTGCTCTGGATCCCCTGGAGAACCTTCAGAATTAACTAAAAGGTCCTCTTAAAAAAAACCTGGAGCAATCACAGGTAATCCCGGAACACTTGTAGCACCCTCGAAATCTCTTCAGTACTTAAGGAAGCTCCTTAAAGCCACTGAAGAGCCCTTGGAAAAAAGCCTCAGAGGTCTGTATACCTTTTTTAAAAGAGCTGAACTTTTCGTAAAAGCTGTGTATCAACCTGGACCACCCTGTGCATCACAGAACCCCCCCCCCCCCCCCCCGAAATCCTTTCAGGACCTACAGGAAGCCCCAGGAATTCACTCACAGACCCTTGAATAAGCCTTAGAGCCCTGTTCGCCTTTTCTAGATCCCCCTCGTTCTCTTTAATACCTCCAGAACCTGAAGTCCCCCGTCACCCTCCTAAACGTCCTGGAACCACACTGGCCACCCTGTAGAAACCTTCCTCTGGAACCTTCTCAGAAGCACCGGCACCTCTTTGTAAGATCTCCTGAGGCCTTTAAAAAAAAAAAAAAATTAAGATCCAAACTGTAAATACACCTTAAATCTCCACAGGCTGCCCTTAAGCCCCTTGAATCCACACGGCAGCCTCCTTCAGGAGCTTGAACACCAGTCTTGAAATCCCTAAACAACTCCGTGAAAGTTCTCCAGTGACGGTGGAACATAATTTAACCTAAACTAACTCTTTTACCTTTATTAATCTCATCTACTTCTAGATCCTGTTGAAACGTATCAAATATCACCAAAGTATTTTATAAGGTATTGAAACTAAAAACACCCAAAAACATGTGGAAGTGCCTTAAACACACCTGGAACACACAGTTGAACCCTAAGAGACCCTTAAACACCCTCCAAACATCCTGGAACATCCATCCACATTTGATTGAATTAAGCAGGAATAATTTTAACAAAAAAATAAAAATAAATTGTAAATACAAATCAATAATAATTTTAAATGTGGTTCTCTAATGCTTAGAAGAACAGTTTTTATAATCTGTGTGCTGAGAACATTCAGGGCTCCGACAGAAACACCTGAAGGAGGCTCTTAATCCGGATTAACCTGCTTTTTAATGTGTGTTTTTTTTTCTCGATGACTTTATTAATTTTGCGCTCGGTGATGAAGAGCAGGCTCTGTGGAGTGTAAAAACACAGATGGCACTTTGTTCTGTTTCACTGCTGCTGCGGATAAATCCACCAGCTAACAGCTGCAGACAACACGCTCAGTCTGCAGGAGCAGGGCGCCACACAGTGGAGAAAAAACTGCTACTGCAGGGCTCGTACCCCCCGTGCCACGGATGGAGACTGTCAACAGTGAGACAGATTCAGGTGATAATAAGAAATCAAATACAGAGAAATACATGATACAGCTTCTCTACAGGTGAGGAAAATGTATTCTGTGATTAGCTGACACAAGAAATACCGTAAAATAGAAATATGGTTTCTAAATGTCTAAAACTTAGAATTGTTTGGGTTGAATGTAGAATTAATTGTTTCTTAGTTATACAAATTTTTCAAAAAGGGGACAAAAGCTGAACTCCCTGTAAGATATTGAACGTTATAAAGACTCAGAAAGAGGAGGGATATAAGAACGAACCGAAAAGGAAACTGCAGTATGAAGTTAAGCAACAGTAAATGTTGGTTATATTTAAATTTTGCTCACAGATTAGTTAAACATAGTATATCAACAGCACATGTGAAACCGTGAAGTCAAAGGCTGCAGCAAATAAAGGTATTTGGAAAAATCTCAGTATGTTTTTTTTGCATGACTTATTTCTTTAAAAATGTCCAAAAACAATAAAACCATGTCGTTCTAGATCGTCCTAGAAACCAAAACTGTCGTCTTAAAATCTCTATTTTCTAGAGCAAAAGCTCAAAACTCTAAATGACTGACTTGACAATGTCGAGCAGTATCTTTTATTCTAAGCAGAAGGATAGTGAAAATGTTTAGCATATTTCTTTGTTTCCACCTGAGAAATGACTGAAATAATGAATCCCTCTTCTAAACATTTAGATGTGTTTTCTGTCAATGAAGATATCTGCTTATGAGTACTGACAAAGTGGTCAGAATGAAAGCACTTTAAGTTCTGTGTCTCCAAAAGGTTTGTTTGGAAATAAAATCATGTTCCTCCCTCCTTTAGACTTAATCTTAAAGAAAAGGAGAGACATCAGCTTCCACAAACACCGCCTGTTCTACTTAGTAGAAGAGTAAAAAACTAAACATATTGGTCTTCTTATCCTCTCATGTTGAATGAAAGCTCAGCGCAGACCTCCTCCTGGGGGTCACAACCCCACTTTGAGGGGCGTTTAACCCCCTTAACACTCCTTCAGATCCTACAACATGCCAAAAACACTCAACGCTAATCAGTCTCAGTCTTTCCAAATACATAAGCCACGACTGCTCAACATAGATTTTTATGGTTGAATTGTAAATGATATGAAGAATGAGGATATTATTACAATTATATGCAATTACATGGAAATGATCCACAAATCTGTGTTTCACATCAAATATATTTCCAACGAAAGGTTAAATCAGACAAAACTCTTAATTACATATTTGCTGATTTTTCTTAGACTGTATGATCATGTATGTGTTTAAAGGATAATAACAGGATGAAATGATGATGATTTAC